TCTCAAGCGCGCGCCCTTGCAATCGCCCTTCGCTCGTGCATCGCGGAGGTCGGCGGCCAGCTCCACTGGGCCTGGGAATTGCTGGCGGCATTGCCAGGCTTTGGAGTGAGATGACAGCCGAATGCGGTTGACAGACCGCCGCGATCGCTTCTGACGTAGTTCGTGCACGCGAGGAAAGTTTGGGGCCCATTGTCGGCGTTGCCGACAGTGCATCCCTATGAATGCCAATGATGTCGCCGATACGATCAGCAACGCGACCGACAAAACGAACCTAGTTGGCGCCGAGACCGCCGCTGGCTCAGCCGGCGCGGCTGCCCGAGGTGCCGCAGCCAGTCCGCAGTGGGCCCCGCAGTGGTCTAAGCCACCTGCGCCGTCATCTGGGCATCGCGCCTAGAAGATCACGGAAACAGGGTGGCGTTCCCACTCGACCTCGCTGCGATGGCGCGCGCGTGGAGCCGCGCCGCGGGGGGGGGGGGGCTTCCCGGGGGGGAAGAGGCGGGCGGCCTCAAACGTTGCGGGTCGGAATCCGGAAGGCGAGTTGGGCCCAAATTTGGCGGATAATTTCACCCTACCAATATTCATCGCGACACCCGAGACTCACGCGAGGAGCGTGGCACGCCAGTGCACGATGCAGCGCGCGCGAGAGGTCAGTTGTAGAGATGCGAGACAAGTGCTTCCAAAGTTCCTTTAGAACTGCGTCGACCACTTCTTGGAACTTCGCATGTTGCCCGTCGAACGAAGGTCTGCAGGGTGTTCAGTATGATCAGGGGGCGAGAACTGCAAAGTTGGTTGCCAGAGGCCGCAGCGTTGCCTCTCTGGCGGGGGGGCGTAGACCGGGAGGCGCCGCTCGGGCTCGCGCGCTGCCCCGAACAACGGAACATCGATGTCTGCGCGCTTTGCGCAGAGGTGATCGAGAATTGCAGGGGGGAGTTGAGATTTAGCCTGGGCGCGCGTCGAAGATCTGGGGCCAAACCTCAGGCATCAAGCACGCGCCCTTGCAATCGCCACTCTTTCGTGCGTCGCGGAACCCGGCAGACGGCGCAATTGGGCCGGGGGGGCTTTGGGAGGTAATGCCGAGCTTTGGGATAAGGTGGCGGCCGGATGTGATGAAGAGATTGACGCGGTCGCCTTTGGCGCCGCTCGCGCGCGCGAGGAAAATGGGGGGCCCATTGTCGGCGAGGCCGACAGGGCGGATTCCATTCGTTCAAATGGTGTCGTCGTTGCCATCTGCGGCATGACCGACGAAACAGATGTGGCGGGCACAGTGGCCGCCGCTGGCTCAGCCGGCGCGGCTGCCCAAGGTGTCGCAGCCGCGGGCCGTCGGGACGCTCGAAGCACGGATGTGGCAACGCAGGTGGGCGCTGCTCCTGGCGCGGCCGCGCGTTCAACCGTCGGTCTGCCACCTTTACGAGGGCGTCTTCCGCCCCCGCCTGCGGCGCCACTGGGGCGACGGACGTTTCTGCCGCCGCCGCCAAAGACGCTTGCTTCTCGGCGCGGCGGAGGAACGCCGCAACCCACGGCGAGACGTACAGGCGTGCATGTCGGTTGCCTTGCGATTGCTGTGAACGGGCCATTGGCAGCCTTGGCCTGCGCGGCGCCCTCAGCAATTGCGACGCGTGGGCCAGGAGACCCAGAGGGATTGCGACGCCAGCGGAACTGGGGACCGGGACACGCACCGCCACCATTGAGCGCGGGCTCTGGACGGCATGTATTCCATCAGAGAAGTAGGAAGTGGCAGTGGTAGGCGATGAATACAACCAGAGTTTCTACCCTGAGTGGGCTTGGATGCAGGGCTCGAGGGTGAGGGCGAAGGAACGGAGAAATACTATCACGTGCATCTCGGGGATCATTTGTTGCACTGAGATGATTCGTTGACTTCCGATTACTTTAGGATCGCGCGGCTAATCCATGCGTTGCCGTGGATTTCATCACGTACTGGACCATGAATGCTTGCATGTCCTTGACCATGTGCGGAATATACGGCTCAGCCGCACGTTGTCCGGTGACTACAGGTTCCTGAAGATCATGACTACGAGCTGGCGCGTGCATTATTTGGGATGCGTCAGTTTGCTTCGTCCCGCGTCGAGAGCTTTGCCGGGAGTAGATGCCACCCCGCCCAGCGCGCCGTAGAACGTTTTTGGGGGTTGGCGCTGGGGGCGTGGGGTTGGAGTGGGGAGGGGGCAATGCGCATGGGGACGGCATGCAGTGGGGCAAGTCCGAAGTGATCTGACTCGAGGCCTACTCATCCTGCGGCGGGCGGAATTTACATGACTCCATCCCCGCCGTCTCCCGCCGCCGCCGCTGTCGTCATCGAGCAGTGCCGCTGGTCATCAGACACTCTGCATCTGTGCTTGGCTGCAGGTATGTGACAAAAGGGGTGTGTCTCCGTCGACGTTTGTCTTTGTCGGCCAGCCGGGGTTCCTCGTCATCTATCAGAGTGAGGGGGCCGAATAGTCATTCAATGTTCTTGGGTGCGTGGCTGCACTGGGCTTCAGCGATCCGGATTATTGTTGTTGTGTTTGTGGTTGCTGTTGTTATTGTTGTCGCTGTTGCTGCTGCTGCTGTTGTTGCTGTTGTTGTTGTTGCTGTTGTTGTTGTTGGTGTTGTTTGTCTTGTGTTGTTTTGTTGTTTGAGGTATTTCTCCTCGTGACCAGGCCCGCAGCCCACCCGCGACCCACCCCGGGAGCCGCCCGCGACCCACCCGCGATCCACCCGCGACCCACCACGCCACCCGTCCGCGACCCACCCGCGACCCGGCCCGCGACCCGTCCGCGACCCACCCACGACCCACCCGCGACCCATCCGCGACCCACCCGCGACCTGGCGCGCGACCCCTCCGCGACCCACCCACGGCCCACCCGCACCTCAACCCGCGACTCACCTACTTTGTTTTACGAAAAATCGGCGTTTGCGGCGGGCCCGTTTACATCTATAAGCAGTAAGTGTTTGCGACGGTTTTGACCCGAACCTCGCAGACTGCAGACGTCCCCGCCGCCCTCATCAGTTGTATCTGCGACTGCGGTATGTGTACGTCCTCGATAATAGTGAATCCAGAGTTTACGATACTTTCAAAGTTGTACGTGCGGCGCAAAGCTATGTACATATACATATATATATATATAGATGCATACATGCATGAATGTATGTATGGTTTGCTTGCACGTATGTATGTATGTATGAATGTATGTAAAGTATGTATGTATGAATGTAATATAATGGAATGTTATGTAATGTAATGTAATGTAATGTAATGTAATGTAATGTAAAGTAATGTAAAGTAATGTAATGTAATGTAATGTAATGTAATGTAATGTAATGTAATGTAATGTAATGTATGTATGTATGTATGTATGTCTGTGTGTGTATGTATGTATGTATGTATGTATGTATGTATGTATGTATGTATGTATGTAATGCATGTATGTGTGTATGTATGTATGTATATATATATATATATATATATATATATGTATGCCTATATGTAGGTGTCTATGTATGTATGCTTGTTTGTACGTATGTTCGTATGCATGCATGTATGTATGCATGTATGTATGCATGTATGTATGTACGTCGTGATGTGTCCCGATGTGTTCATTGCACAGTAGCTTACGCATGATGCCGTGAGTGTTCATGTGAAGGCATATGGGCGCATGTACGGGGTGGTGGAAGGTTGGTGGGAGGTTCCCAGAAGGAATGCGGAAGCCAACCGTCAACATCAGCTAGGCGCATGTACGGGGGGTGGCCGAAGGTTGGCGGAATGTTTCTGGAACGAATGGGAAAGCCAACCGTCAACATCATTTATGTTGGCGGAAGTTCGCGGAACGTCGGCGTAATGATGCGGAAATACAACAAGAGATGAAAAGAACATTCGTTATGTAATGTCAAATTCTTCATAGATCTGTCCATGCCGGAGTCAACGATGATCCAATCTACCGAAGAGATAAGCCCAGCGACGATAGTAGACTAAGCAAACAGACAAATCATAATCTCAGAATATTTTGACCCCCGTGGGATAGAATTGCGTGGACAATCTGACGATTGCCGAGGGATTTGTGGACAGGGAAGTGTGGAATTGTTGTCGCTTCGCGAATCCCCACCAGCCCATCCAGAAACGATGCCCAGAGGAATTGCCTCGATCAGAGAAGTGGGCAGCACACAGAGGAAGCCATTATGAGACATCTTGGGATATCTTGAGCCATCTTGGAGGTCATTTTGGGCTCTCCCAGACGCTCTTGGAGTCATCTTAATCCGTGCCCCCCCCCAAGAGGCCTCCATGTGGCTAAAACCTGTGTAGAATCAATGATTAGGCATTCTCGCCGAGGCCTCTTGGAGCATCTTGGGTGCATCTGGGGGGGCTCTTGGGGCCTCTTGGGGGTCTCTTGGGGGCCTCCGGGGGGCCTCTTGGGGGCCTCTTGGGGCCATTTTGGGGCCATCTTGGGACCTCTTGGGGCTTCCTGGGCGCTTCTTGGGGCCATCTTGGAGGAGATCGATCAAACAAGAGGGGGGGTTTAATTAGCGTCCCCCCTCGGAAGCCCCTAAAATCGCCTCTTGGACCCCTCTTGGAACGCTCTTGGAGTGCTCTTGGGCGCTCTTGGGGCCGTCTTGGGGCTCTTTTGGGGCTCTCTTGGGGCCCTCTTGGGCCATCTTGGAACCATCTCCAGGCCTCGGATGGCCATCGGAAGCGAAAAGGCGAGAAAGCAAAAATCATTGATTTTCCTTAGGTTTTGGGACGATTTTGGCCTCTTCGGGGCCTCCTTGGGGAGCTGTTTGGCCACTTGGAGTTATCTTGGGGCCGTCTTTGGGCTTCTTGGAACCATCTTAGGAGCCATCTCGAGCGATCTTGCGCTATCTTGAGCCATCTTGGAGCTCATCTTGGGTTCTCTGAGGCGCTCTTGGAGCCGTCTTGGGCCATCTGGGACGCTCTAACTACCAGCGGCCCCCCCCGTCCAGGTCCAGGGGAGGGGGTAGGGGGAGGGGTAAACCCCTCCCCAAGGGGGAAGAGGGAGGGGTGGAAGAGGATCTGTTCTAGACCACCTACGCCCAGAGGGCTGGTGGGATTGTAATGAATCGGGGCCACGCGCCCGTTTGTTTCACCTCTGTTAGCATTGCCAACATCTTTGCCTCAAGGGCTGTGGCGCCTCCTATCTGGCATTGTCGCTTGCGCTTCCGTGGAGTTGCCAGGACGCCCAGTTGCGACTGTGACTTGTGACGTGGGATCCTTCCCCGGAACAATCTGCAGAAGGAAATCCCACATGTTTGTTTCACGGCATATGCACGTTGTAAGCACAGTTAGGTTGTGCATTTATCACCATTAATCACGTGTAATTATCATTTTGTTCGGTGCGCAAATAGCTCTGCTAGATCTTAGCGACGCTTGTGTGACCCCTGAGCGAGCAGCTGTCTGCGCGAGAAGCGACGGACTGGGCCGCTACCGGGCGAGTTCGTCGGCGCCCCCCCTTCTTCCACCCAAGGGCTGTACAGACCGAAAACGGTGCGGGCTCCCATGCGAGCGCGGCATGTCGGCGGCGAGCCTGGGGGGGGCAGTGTGAAAGAGCGGGATTTCTCGGAAGGCTCGGAAGCCCCCCGGCCTTCTGAGAAGTTTCTTGAATTTCTTCGAAGACCCAGCAATCCTTTCAGAAGGTGCTAGGGAATCTGAGAAGGCCCGCCGCCTTCTGAGAAGGCCTTTTCCTTTTCGCTTCCCCCCCTCGCTCGCCGCCGAATGATACAGCGCAGCCACCAGGTCTGATTGACGCACGGTTGTAGTTTAGCGCGGTAGCGTGACGTGGCTGTGATGACCGCGGCACGGGTAGCCTCAAATGGTTCGGATGCCAGGTCCAGGCCAGGCCGGCGGTGACGCAGCAGATGTGACGACGTGATGCAATCATGGCAGGAGCGCTTAACCCTGTCCTCGGATCTTTGCATCGCTCGAACTTGTGCATCATTCTCGGCGATTACCATCAAGGAGCATCCTGGATCATTTAGCACATAATACACGCCCGAAACCGACAATTGAACAGGGAATGGGCGTCTGGGCGATGGCGCGGGGCGGGATCTCCCAAGCAGAGCCGGTCCACGAGGGCCCCGCGGGCTCGGAGCGTGGCGAGAGAGCTTGGCAGCACGTGCGTCCGACGCCCAGATGCCATTGCCAGGAGGAGGAGGGGGAGGAGGAGGAGGAGGAGGAGGAGGAGGGAGGAGGAGGAGGAGGAGGGGAGGAGGGGGAGGAGGAGGAGGAGGAGGAGGAGGAGGAGGAGGAGGAGGAGGGAGGAGGGAGAGGGGGGGAGGCGGAGGGGGGAGGAGGAGGAGGAGGAGGAGGAGGAGGAGGAGGGAGGAGGAGGAGGAGGAGGAGGAGGAGGAGGAGGAGGAGGAGGAGAGGAGGAGGAGGAGGAGGAGAGAGGAGGAGGAGGAGGAGAGGAGGAGGAGGAGGGGGGGGGGGAGGAGGAGGAGGAGAGGAGGAGGAGGAGGGAGGAGGAGGAGGAGGGAGGAGGAGGAGGAGGAGGACGAAGAATCAGAAAAATAATGATAAGAAGAAGAATACGAAGAAGACGAATGATAATGATACTACCCAGCATAATAGTCATAAAAATAATACGAATACTACTTGTAATCGTACTATTAATGATACGAATATATAATAGTAGTAATAATTATAGTAACAATAATAATAGTAATCGTACGAATAATACTTATACTAATAATAGACTAATAATAATACTACTACTAATAATATGAATAATAATAATAATAATACTAGTACTACTACTACTAATACTAATCTTAAAAATAATCATAAAACTTGACATGCTAATAAAACATACGAGGGAGCATCATAATAAGAATAACAATAAGAAGTCGAAGAAGACGAGGAGGAGGAGGTGGAGGAGGAGGAGCAAAAGGAGGAGGAGGAGGAGGAGGAG